GKTTTYYTTMRSYTWAAAAAAAGGTTTTATCTATCAAGCTTTGGCTGAAAGACTCCCGTCTGTGACTTATCATCATCGGGCTATCTATGCGAGAATAATGCAGTATGATGCACCCGAAAGGCAAACGCCGCAACAAATTGTCAACCATTCGAACAAAACATAAATGAAAACATTTATATCTGCATAGTCAACAATATATAGGCGAATAATTTGTTCACATTTCGGTTCATTAGCATATCATCAGCGTTTTGTCAAACTGTTTTGAAAACTCCAATTCTTAGAGAGATTATATGAGATAATTAGCCCTTTTGCCACTCAGCATCTTTGAACGCTAATATCTCATAAACTATTGCATGTAAAGACCTCAAACTTTCGTAGTTTATAGTTCTTAAGGTAGGCCTTTTACGTTATGAACTTATTTTACATAGTTTTTACAACTCAGTGCTAATTAGCAAAATTTTGTAAACAAAGATCCGCCCATATTTTGTAGTGGTAGAGTTCTCCCCCCACCCCACCCCTCCCTTCCCTCTACCCCAACCCCGGTCAAACAAACAATTGTYCGGCTGTCCAATTCATGACACAATTTTTCTGGGGCTGTTCCAGGGGGGTGACACACGACGCTGATTACTGTGGTTAAGATGCAACGGGTAGTAAATAAAATATAATGTTCAWATTCATAAGTGGCGAGCTATAGAACTTTACTGATACAGCCGCTATCTTGAATTTTAAAGAAATTGTGGGATGTCCGGAAGGAAARATCACATATTGTTATACAGAATGGCACTGAATAATTACTTTCTCTGAAAATTTCCGTGTTTCAAAACTCAGTTATTTCTTCATCACATCCAAATATGTTATGTTTTTAATTGTATGATATTTAATGTCATAGGATTCAGGTGCGTATCCAGGGGGTCACATGGTGCCAAAAAGGTGCGAAAACCATAGATTGATATGACATCATAATGACGTCACAGTGACAAAATCCTTGATACGCCCTGGGATTCCAAAAAAAACTAAATTTCTTGTTTGGTACCCCCTTTGTTGTCTCATTGTTTCTTAATGAATCGAATTCAAGAKGGCGGCCTTATAAGTAAAARCATTTATTGAAGAACTTGATGGCTTTATTTCTTTTGTTCAAGGCTTATGACTGCGCTTATGTCTATGTCTTATGACTATTCATTTGTCCTCTGTTTTGTTTTATTTTGTTCTAGGATATGCTTATGTTTATGTCACCGAGTCCTCACCCCTCCCCCCCTCCTTCCTAAAGGACCATTCTTATGTCTTAGTGACAAACCTGGCTTTTTGCAGCAGATGTCGTGGTGTGAACCGGCACTTATCAGAAAATTTACCATCGTTTTTTTCTGAACAGTTTATCTCTTTATCGCCACTGTTTCTTTAAAAGCACCTACGCAATTCTCACCTAGTTTTAAGTGCTCATGCCGCCTTTTAGAAAATCATTTTCGCCTGAAAGGAAACACGTGCTGCTAAGACTTTCTGCGAAGTAAAAAAAGATTTTGAATTGTATTTTCTGAGTTATAGGCTTTGTAAACTTGAAAAAAGCAAATGAGGTGACGTCTTTTAGAAAATCATTTTCGTCCGGATGAGATGATACATGCTGTTAAGGATCTCAGAAAAAAAAAGGTTTATGAATTATGAGTTATAGCCATTTGAAAATTAAAAAATTGAATTGAAGATAATTTTGACGATTCGATGAAGCCAAATAATAAAAGATAAGAGGACATAGTACGAGAAACTATCATAAATTCGTTGAATTTTCCATGAAAAAATAGTGTACTTTTTCGTGAATTTGTATATGAAATCAATCCTTAGTTGAATTAACGTCACTTGAATATGCATTTTAAATTCTGAAATGTTTTTAGATGCAGGAGATATAGATGCAAGCAATTTTTTTCTTCCAGATAAACCGACTAAGATGCTTGTTGTGGCATCTTTTTCCCTCCCTCCCCTCCCTCTAATTTTATTTGTCTTATTTTTGTACTGGCCGCCATGTTTGCTGTTTGATGATACAGCGTATATAGATCTCACACCGAAGATATTTAACGTCCATTCTAAAAACCATCGCTCGATAAGAGCTGGCACTTTGTAATCTCAATCACCGATCACCGACCCATAATCTCAATCGTAAGAAGAATGATAATTTTTCTTCTGTTTGTCAAATATTTCCGACGCCTTGTGATTTGGGTGAAAGGAAAAGGTGTTACTGTTGGGTGCTAATCGCCCTGGCAGCACGGATGCTTAAATTGCGAAAAACGCAGCTTGACGCGCTCTCAAGTCAAAGTGCAATATTACAGACCTTAGACTTGAGAAGTTCTAAGCTCAGATTCATGGTACATGACTGAATTGCGTTGCGTGCAGCTTAATAAACACATCCATGTTGTTCATATTAAGATCGCGTATTTTCTACTCGTTAGGCTGGATTCGAGGTCGACTGTACAGTTAAGTCCAGTAAAGGTACACAGAACAGTCCAGTAAAGGTAAGACTAGGTTTATATTCATAGCTGTTCTTCCGAGATCATTGATTGGTTTGCAATTAGCTGTATGTATAGCCAGATTATTAGAAAATATGTGAATGCTACCGCGGCTGTGCATCATTAAAGAATTATTTCCAACATTGAGAATTAACAAGCATCCTTTACGAGCTTTTTATGCTGAAAATAAAAATATATCGTAATATAAGCGAAAACGTACTCTTTATTTTCCCCGTCTTTATTCTCTATAAATGGAGACAAAATTTGATCTTTAAACCGACGGATGGAAACGATTTGCGAATGGATATTTCAGAATGCACCTTATTTTACATTTATGAAAAATTTAAAACACGACCGCATTGAATGCTGGTTGAAAATAGCACTTGAAGATACGCAAAAAGATATTATGAAAAAAAAAAAAAAAAGAAATAGAATCTGAGAGAAGTCTCAGCTAATCTTGACCCAACACCACTATCAAGGTACTGTGGATCGTATTCTGTCATGCAATAGTGAGAGTGAATTAGTAATTTTCCCGAGAATATTGAGCACCAGTTGGTCAAATGTCGTATTCGTACATAACTAGCTTTATTCATCAAGATTTCTAAGTACTCTATCCATCTGACATTGAATCGGAAGTGTATGTTACTTATGTCAGTTTGTGCTGTTTCTTGTGTCGAATAGTCTACCATCAAATAAATCCTTCGTTTGATTCGATGAGGATGGCTGTACGTTAAAATAATTGCTAATTATTTTTGGCATATAAAATACTTTGATGCCAGCTGAAATTACGAAATCAAGAATATGTTGTTGTTKTTTTTTTTTTTACAAAAATGGACRATTTTATTGATGTAAGGTTTCGCTGTTTGCATCACTTTAATTGCTATAACTATATTTTTGTCTCTTTTTTTTCTATCTTTCTTCTTTTCTTACACTATCCTTTCACCTCTTTTTGTCTCTTCTCTTCTCTTTTTGTCTCTTTTCTTTTCTTTTCTTCTCTTTTCTTCTAATCCTTTTCCTTTCTCTATCCTTTTTTTCCCTTTCCATCCTCTTCTTCTCTTCAATACTGAAAAAAACTTGCATTTGTGTCGATAAAATTCAATTCAATGGCGATAAAATCTACATATGAATTTTTCCCCCGGAAAGAAGAACTTGGAAGACATAAGAGGGTTAATGTCTAAGTTGGCACGAGGCGAAGTTGTGGTGTTTATTACGGATACATCAGGGCTTTGTTGGTTTTATATTTCAAAAGCTTTCGTTTTTCCTGATTACAACCTTGTCGCATTCGATATCACTAACTTCTAATCTTACTCTCATTCCATAATTGTGAAAATAGCATCGTGTATTCATTTCGTGTTTGAAAACGTTCTCCAATTTCATATACTGTATATGGTACACTTGGTTTTCTCTTTAATTAAAAGTGTTTTTTGTATGTGTGTTCTTCAAATTCGACGCAGAGTTGTTTTTTTTTTTGGTTATTTCATACCCTAATGGTGCCCCTGTGGGGCTACTCATGTATTGTGTCCCTAGGGACGAAAAAACATAGCGTCTTGTGCACACTCAAGATCACGTGCTTAAAAGACCCTAAAAATTGAAATATTCGTATTCAATAATCCTGTTAAAAAAATTTGATCAGCTGCAACGCCCTAGTTTCAGGCAAAAATTTAATTTCCATCAATATAGAGCTTGGTTTGATTCGTTTATCGTGGAATAATTGTCTGTTGACAAATTGTTCGCGTTATGGGCATGCTTCAGCACTTGTTAACTAATAGACATCAGACCGATGGATTTATTGAGGAATTTTTGTTTTGTTTTAACTACGAAATAAGTTCCCTTTAATAGACACATTAGAAATTGGTTTAATGAATTGAGAAAAACGAGGAAATCATTAACAGTTGTTGTTCTTATACTGCGAAGAATTTTTTTTATCATGATAGGGTACTACGTTTTGTCTTAATACTAAGAAGGATTTGGGCGCGCGGTTTCGATGCGCAAGATTACATCTGGTTCTGTATTCCCTTAAAATATATCTTATATAAACCTTTTGCTCTTGTTTTGTTCACTTTATCGAATAAAATTGTTTGTATAAAAGTGAACGGCAATTCTTAATAAAGTAGAATAATATTTACATTTATTTTTTTACTAATTTTCTTTCCTTTTCCTTTTTTTTCAAAAAATTAACCCGATTAAAAGCTTTTAAAGCACTTTTTGCGTTAATTGTGCACTTTTCAAGACCGAAAATTGTCTAGTTGACCAACTGCAGTGATATTGCCAATCAAATATGAATTTATCGCGTCGTTTTTGTAGTTTATAAATGCGAACGTCAATAGCAATAAAGTCTTTAATTGGTCCATGGACTTGATAGCGAATCGTGACAGTCCTGCGGCTGCGTACGGGGTAGGGCCGCCCGAGGCAGTAGACGAGGTGAAACAAGTGTCGTGCAACCAGATCACCGCACTTGTCTAAGGTAGACAATATTTCACGATTCGTAAAAGACTTCGGGAATATATAACTTTGAAAACTACTCGATCCCATCGCGCGCTTCCTMAAAGGTAAGCCAACTAAAACTGTTCTTTCATAAAAAAGTAGATGTGCTTTTCTTCGTCTCCTGGAGGAAAGGAAAACGCGAGTTTCTACTTGGTACGAATCCGAAAGCAGCTTAACTAACTATCTCCTGGCGAACTTGTAATGAGCAATATATGCGAGTACAATTTCATAGAAGCCTTATATATCGCTTTTAATCTGCGCGGTAATTTAGTTGTCTGAAAGAAGACAACTCAATGAAAGGAGATCAAGAACCGATTGAAAAGATTGGTTTCACTTTGAAAAAACTGGACTTAGATTTTAAAGGAAAAGGAGTTCGTGTTGTTTGTGTTCGTGTGAAAATAGTGTGTGTGGTTGTCGTGTATATTTTATTGATTTACTTTGTTGTTTTATTAATAATAAATAATGGTCTAAACTGGTGGGTTATTTTAGTTGATAAATATCTTTTTGAAATGAGTAAATGATATTTTTTCTGATATTTTTTTGAGTATGAGCTCGTCTAATACATAAAATTAGTTGCGGTCTTGACTGTCCATATTCGTCAAGCTTCTGTCGGGGCGATGACTTCCCTTACAAAGTATGAAACATGCACTTATTGATTCACTTTCTTTCTAGTACAAGAGCCGATCATGTTGATATTCACATTATTTAATTGTTTATGTTTTGATTTGGCTGTATTTCCTTTTAACTTGTGTATTTTATTTCTTGAGATAAATCAATCTCTTTTCCCAGCAGTTGGTGTACCTATAACATGGCTTTTGCAACGCACTCGACCACATTCAAAGTAGCATCTATGTCTGTATATTATTACCGTGTTCAGTTTTGTTTGCATTGAGAACATCTCCAGCCCTCTTTTTGAAATGAAGGCAGTACTAAAGATCTCAACTGATATCATTTTAAGTTTTCTGTTTGAGTTGTCTGTACAGCATATGCCACAAACGTCGGCTGACGTCTGATCTTTAAGACTATTGTCTTGATGATCTTTGCATGATAACATTTTCTAAAGCATAATAATATTAAAATTCTGCTGTGCGATTATCGCCCGACAAATCGTTATTTTTTTTTGTCGCGCACCTTAAATTGCAGGTGTAAAAAACCTGCGATCAATTCAAACATACTCGAATTTTCTGGCGCTTTTCATTTTGCGGGACTGATTTTCTAGACACAAGGAGAATACCATCATTAACCCTTTGACTACCAACATGACACATGCGGCGTTAATCATCCACTCTTTTAAAAATAATTCCCTTTTCTCTGGTTAGTGACCAATGTCTTGATTGTGTGGTTTGCGAAATTCCTTGTCTGCTAAATTCTAATCTAAGACTTCTGCTCCTTTTTTGTGAATATTACAGTCACTTTGGTTTTGGTCTGATCCTAGATGCAGTTAAAGAAGGGCACTAGAGAATGACTAAATTTCTTTCCAGTTCTACTTCTCAAAATCCTTACATTCATGGCGAAACTCAACTTTTTTAGGAAGTTTGGCCTTTCTACTTAACATTGGTCAGTCTATTAGCCCTTGTCTTATTGAGCAAGTCGAGAAACAGCTATTTTTTGGTCCACTCCTCCCCGACGCACATGCTTTCCTGGGTTGCACTCGCAAAGATTTATGGGTAACTGCGTATTTTCTCGACAGGGAGTACCCTGTTATCTACATTTGACATATTTCATGCACTCCTACCCGCAAAATTTTCAGGCGATTGATTTTTTTAGAAGTCCAAACTTGCCGAAATTAGCATGGTAGGTCGCGAAACCAAACACAAGAGTCGATTTCACTCCAATGGTGCCATCGGCTTCAAACCAACTGATGATCGCCATTTTCCTCATAAAATCGCTTCCCACCTCTGATTTCTTCCAGAAGAGCGCCTCAGTCACCTAGCTGAGCTTAATTGATTTTGTATGGATTTTTTAACCGTGATGAGGACTTATCGAGTGGTGGATAGTGCTATTTATCCTTCATACATTGAACCGGCCCTGATCAAGATTAATTGCCTTGGAACCTCAAGGATTCGCTAGCTCGCAATCATCATCTTCATTTTTTGAAAAGTCGTTTGATCATGCTTTTTTGTACAAAATGGCGTCGGTGCCAATGACCTATTAACAYTTCTTGAAACTCTTATTGAAATTGCGTGATAAGGGAGCTCTTTAATTTAAAAGGACCATGATTAACCGGCATGCAATGCATCGCGTGTTTTAGATTTTTCATTGAATATATATGTAAAGAGAAGTGACCTCAAATATTCCATTCATAACCTATTTAAACGTCTTGAAATTCTATTGAATTGCGTGATAAGGGAGCTCTTTAATTCAAAAGGACCATGATTAACTGGCATGCAATGCGTCATGTTTTAGATTTTTCATCTATAGAAAAAAATGGACTTCAAATATCATTCCTGGCTAAAGCCCTGAACATGTGCACAAAACCACGCTATCACCGGCACTATAGGAACTTGTCTGGCTTTCTTATCGAAAAGTCAACTCCAGATCCTGTCATACTTACTATGTAGTCTAAGTGCGGTAATGGTCAAATGCCGTTTTATCTTGCAAAATGTAAAGCGTTCTCAAGTGTGCAGTTATAACACTAGACGCAACAGTAACTTTGATAATATACGATTTTGTCCCACTAACACAGCGTGTGTTCCTGAGTATTAGTCTGGGAAATTTCTTTGCTTGATAACAATTATGCCAAAAACAAGAGTGGTGTTTGTGATCAGCCATTTTTATCAAATACAAGCTGTGTTCTTCATAAATTCTTTGAAAATTAGGGTGAATTTCCTATTAATAACACGTTTATAGAAACGTCTAATAAAACGCTAATGTTTGCAGCTCCAAAGCAATCATCCATTTTGGTTTCATTCCATACTATTCAATTGGTTGTGYTTTGTTCGAGAAGTATGACGTCATAAGTCAAACTCGGCCCATTCTCTTTCAGGCCAAGAGAGAAGCAAATAACAGCGAACGAAAGCAAATCGTTTTTTTTTTTTCATAGGAAGGAAAGTAAATCGTTTTTTTTTTCATACTTCCTTTAGGACCACCAAGACGAGGCTTTTTATGGTTGTTATTCATTCATTTATACATTCAAATGTCTTACAATACATTTTTGGAGATATAGAGGTTATTACATGGGCATATGTCGTAAATTGCCTTTTTTTCTTTCTTCCACTATATAGAGAAACCCTCGAATGTGTTATTTTCACTAGTGAAAATGGTTATTGTAATTATTATAATTTTTATGGAGAAATATATTTTATRGATAATTATATGATAAACGAATTTAAAATCTTCTTGTGTTGATTTTCACTGTACATGCATGATAGCATCTTTCAGTTGTATTTAAGCAATATAATTAGATTTTCCATTTTCTGTTAGAAACACGCGAAATGTTTTCAAAAACGAGCTGACATCGAGTGATTCCAAACCTTTTCGAGTGTTCTCCCCAMAAATCTTGAAACAGAGAATAAGAACACKGAAAATATCTTCAGTCTAAGGCTATTATGAAATAACAACAGCTCTTCGCTTGAAAGAATTGTTTCTATGCTCTTCTWGAAAAATAGCTTTTTACACATTTCAACCAATCAATTTGCACGTTATACAGAGTTTCGAAGTTATTTCATAATAGATATTAGATAAAAATGCCATATTATCTTCTTATCGTCTAAAGTGGGATAGGAAAAACATGTCACTTAGTTTCTGTTTGTCCTGTTTCCGTCACTTTGAACACTACGTTTGAAATATGAATCAACAGTTTATTCACAAAATCGATTTATTTAATGTCTTAGCAGGATAGCGTGATACTATCTACAAATTAAGAATTACAAACGATGATCATTAAGTTGTCAGTTGTCATTGTAAATCATCTCATGAGAAATATGTCGCTTTATCATATAATTAACTATGAAATACCTATATTTTTCGTAAAGATGAGAGGTTTTTCTATATAGCGGCAGTAAGAAAAAAGGTATTATTTTACACTATAATTTGCTATCATATGTAATTATATGGTAAACAGAATATTACATGTTCGCTTGGAGATACAAATTTTATCTTCTCGTGTTGAATCATCCGTATCTCCGCACGCCCATGTAATATCCTCTATTTATCTAACAACTAAAACTTGTCGTCATATATGCACAATATTGATGGTAAAATTCACAGTTTTAAATGTCCAAAAAATGCTTTTCGATGACTCCAAACCACTAAAAGTTTTTTATCTTATCAAGGAGATGGGTGTCATGTTGTTTTCATTTTCTCCAAGTTTCTACCTATCACTTCCTATTGTATGGTGATCTCCTGAATTCAAAATCAAMACAGTTCATGAAAATCTGTCACAACTATTGAAAAGAGCGCCCCAGAATAAGAAAATTTGCTAACTTTGAGAGCAATCAGTTAAAAAATTGAGAAGACTCATTATTATAAATTGAAACGATAGAAAAAAATGTTTGTTAAATTGGGTGCCATTGTTGCGCTGTGTCTATTTACTTTTGGCGAAGTTCGTGTAAAATTAATGGAGAGTTTTCAATAGATAGACCTTCTGAAAAAGTTTCAAATCAGAAGTTTTTTCCAAAACTACATTGATGTTGACTATTGTTTTTTTTTATGTATATCGTGATGCTTGCCTCAAGAGCCAAGTGGCTACATCACGGCTTTGCTAGAGCAGAGTCACTTGAACCATGAAATAGAAACTAAATACTTAGTTACTAATAGGCACTATCACTGAACCAGAACAGTACAAAGAGATTACTTTGATTGTTAAAGTGGTCTCTTGGGTATTGCTTATTGGATCAAATCAACTGTTCTGGTTCAGTGCTAACGACTATTAGGAACTAATAGTCCCTATTAGTTAGTACTTTTTAGTTCTTATTTCATGGTTCATGTGACTCTGCTCTA